TCTGCTATTTATAGCCCTAAACCTATTTTCCCCAGAATGTGAGAAGCAAATGTTAAAAAAAGGGGTCAGGATCATCTTGCTGAGGAGCAGAGAAAAGCGGCAGATGGGCGATGGGAAGGATTTAACATTGAAATAATTGGCATTTTCGGGATGGCCAACTTGATTTGGAGGCTTGGCTGTCGAAAACGGCTAAGCTTAAAAGAGTAGAAAATGCAAAAAATAAAAATAAAAATCCATGCCATTTACTTTAGCTTGGAGTATTTTAATACCTACGAGGGTCAACTAATGTTTTTCCCTTCTCCCGTTTAAAGCGTGAAATACAGCTTGAGATGCAGGTGAGAAAAAGAACTCGACATATTGAGGTATTAATGGCACGCTGAGGGGGAAGCATGTCGGCCACAGGGCTTCCATTCCCTGCATCTGACGTGAATTTGCTAGGATTAATCTCTTGCATTACATAATATATAATTATATAAAAATATGTAATATAAATATATACTGTATAATTGTATATTTGAGATGTGTTTGAAGATAGAGATAGAGATGTTAACCCTAGCAAATTCACGTGACATATTTGTGTGTATGTATATATGTGTACATATGTGTGTATACATACATACATACATACATACATATATATATATAAAGACTTCTCTCTCCCATATTTGGGCCGACGGTGCACTATATATATATATATATATATATATATATATATATATATATATATATATATATATATATATATATATATATATATATATAGATAGATAGATAGATAGATAGATAGATAGATAGATAGATAGATAGATAGATAGATAGATAGATAGATAGATAGATAGATAGACAGATAGACAGACAGACAGACACACAGACAGACAGACAGACAGACAGATATGAGAGAGAGCGGTAGAGATAGATAGATAGATAGATAGATAGATAGATAGATAGATAGATAGATAGATAGATAGATAGATAGATGGAATGTTAGCAAATTCACGTCATATATATATATATGTGTGTGTGTGTGTGTGTCTACATATATATACAGACACACAGAGACATAAAACACATGCTTTGCGTTGCCCGAAGACTTTGCGTTGTGATGTTTGTTGCCCCCAGACAAAACCCGCCTTTTAGTGCAACGAAGGATGAAATTAAAACACTCCCACCGTTTTCCCCCGGTCCATCTTCAGTCCCCCTCTGACACGGCGGCGTCCAGTCAGGGCTAGGATTCCTTCTCCTTCTTGTCCTTGCCGGCTCTCCTGGCCATGAGGCTGAAGAAGAGGGCGGGGCAGAGGGGCCGGAGATAGACCGCCAGGGCGGGCAGGAAACCGGGCACCACCAGGACTTCCTTCTGCTTCTCCCCCACGGCGTCCAGGACCAGCCGAGCCACGTCAGCCGCCGCCTTGCCTTCACTGGTGGTCTTGTCCATCACTGCATCGTACAGAAAGCAAGCCGGCATTGTTAGGAACCGGGGGGGGGGGGGGGCTAGGCTCACGGATAAGGCCAGGTCTTTGGACCAGGGGTCTTCAAACTTGGCCTTTTTATGACGAAGTCCACAAGTTTGAACACCCCTGCTTGTGGACTTCCGACTCCCAGCATTCCTCAGCCAGGCACGCTGGCTGAGGAATGCTGGGAGTTGAAGTCCACAAGTCATAAAAGGGCAGGCAACAAAGATGATGAGGGGACTGGAGGCTAAAACATATGAGAAACCGTTGCTGGAATTGGGAATGTCTAGTTTAACGAAGAGAAGGACGAGGGGGGACATGATAGCAGTCTTCCAATATCTCAGGGGCTGCCCCAAAGAAGAGGGAGTCAAGCTATTCTCCAAAGCACCTGAAGGCAGGACAAGAAGCAACGGGTGGAAACTAACCAAGGAGAGAAGCAACCTAGATCTAAGGAGAAACTTCCTGACAGTCAGAACAATGAACCAGTGGAACAACCTGCCTCCAGAAGCGGTGAATGCTCCAACACTGGAAGTTTTTAAGAAGAGACTGGACAGCCGTTTGTCTGAAATGGTGTAGGGTTCCTGCCTGAGCAGGGGGTTGGACTAGATGACCTCCAAGGTCCCTTCCAACTTTTATTATTATTATTATTATTATTATTATTATTATTATTATTATTATTATTATTATTATT